GTATTTATGTAGGTGGGAACGCAATGTCTACTAAACATGACAATGTCTACTAATCTAGGTTGGAACCCACTCTTGCCGATGCGATTGTGCAAAATTTTTGCGCCAAATTTGAAACAATCAGGTTGTTGACTATACGAATGGTTGTTGCTTTACAATTAACTTGTTCACTCATTGCCGTCGGAAGTCTTATTTAACGGAAAGTGAATAATTTCCGCTGAGCGGTTGTCGTTCATTTCTGCTTTCTAAATCATTTCCCTCTAAAATTTTCACGTATCCGTGCGCGAGAGTCATGGATACCTAAGTGCTGAACTCGAAACCTGCAAGATGCACGTAGACAAAGAATACCTCTTAAAAATTTCAGCTTTCCAGCTTTTCTGGTTTCTGACCTAGCAATTTTCCGGCCAAAATTTTCGCGTGCCCCTCTGTGAGGCTCAGAAGTGTATGAAAGTTGGTTTCACGTTCCGAGACTTACAGCATGGTTAGGTTATCCGATGGCAAGTTTTTGGCATCAAAACTTAGTTGCCGAGTTGAAATATCCGAAAAAACGCACCACCCATGTGCATACAAACATATACATACACATAGACACACGCACATCTTTTGTCGGCACAATATGCGCTTTTGCAGTTGCATAGAAGTAAAAGAGTTGTCAACAGAGAAACATCCACCAAAGCTCTTAATTCGAGTAAAAACAAAACTGAATAATTTCAAACATGAACAACAATCACCTATTTTATTATTAACAGTAACAACATGATGATCGGTAAAAAATTGTGGCTTAAGCATTTTAAAATGAATGCAAATCAGGCATAATTCGTTGGATTGATCGAAGTAACTTTTTGCACCAAAGCATCTTTCTTGCTGGCACTACGGCTACAAATAGTTTTCCCACAAACAGTAACTTCCAGGAATGCGAACACCTCACAATACAGTAGCCAATCATCATAGGCCATGCCACTATAAAGTAAAATATATTCCGATCGACACGGGAAGACTGGTTCGGCTAGCGGATTAACAGCAAAAACAACAAAAAACCAGAGGTATTGCAAGCCAAGAAATCCCAGTGTTATGTACT